TTTCATAATTATTTATAATAACTCCTCCTCTACTTCTGATATAGTTTTCTTGAGTAACCAAAATGGCAACTTATAGATTAACCTATTATATTCAAGTCAAAAATAATATTTAACATCACAGAATCAACCTAAACACATTCATTTATACCAAAAAACCGAATTTATAAAGCGGAGAGTTCCGGTGCTTGATTCTGATTGGCTGAGCCGCGTTCAAAGCTGTTGTAAATGACTCTACAAAGTAACATACACCTTTGTTTACGTTTGTCTGTTGCTCGGCAACCACTTTATTGCAACCACAACTGATTCTGAGGAACTACATTGTTTGGTGGAAGAATATCATTAAAGTTTATTTGCTCTGTTTTATTCTGTGAAACCTTACTAGGTATATGGAATAACCGTTTAATAAAAGCAATAAGCCCCGTGAAGCCATGGTTTACAGTGAATTTATAACAGCTAAGGGGCGTTGTTAGGCAGGTTTGTGGGTTAAATCATCTCTTTTAGGAAACAATTGCAGGTTACCACTTTTTACAGTTTACTTGAAACTATTGTTCAGTTTTATTTGACTGAAAATGGTGGTATAAACTAATTGACCCTTATTTGTAAGCTGTTTTGGATAAAAAGTAAATGAATAAAAGTAAATATATGTAATGCAAATCTATCCCAGAGACCTACAAATAAATTGCTTGATTTCACTGGTAACATGGTGTAATGACTTTATATAGCCAGATCCGCTAAATATGATGTCTTTGTAATTAATGTATACAGCCAAAACTATTTGGCTAATGTTATTTTCAAAAATATTTTTATTTAATTTTATTTATTTATTTATTTATTTATATATTTTTTAATTTTTATTTAATTTTATTATTATTATTTTATTTATTTATTTATTTATTTTTATTTTATTTGCTGTGTTGTGTGCGTGTCGTTGCTCCTCCGCGCCGCTGGGTGGCGCCAGCATCAACAGCAGTAGCGGCGGCGGCGGCGTCACTCTGACACCACAAACTCAGCTTTATTCGTCGTTGCACGATATTACTTCCGCTCGCTAAGAACAAGGTTAGTTTTTCACACATTAACTACGTTTTAGCCTAGTTTTCAATCAGATATACGCTCTTCTACTCTTATATATGATAAGAACATAAGAATGAATTGTGTGAAGCGTGTGTGTGTTTGTTTATAGATCAGATTTATGATTGTAAACAGGAAGACAGCAGCGATCAGACGGAGTTGTAAATATTAATGTAAATATTGAGGAAGTAACGTGTAAAATCGGACTTTATAGGGTCTGATTAAGAATGTACCCAGATCAGCTAAAGATGATGTCTTTGTAATGACTGTATACTGTAAAAATCTTGCTACGGGTAATGGAAAGCTACAGAACAATTTAAATATATATATACACACACACACACACACACACACACACACACACACACACACTCTCTCTCTCACACACAGACACACACACTCTCTCTCTCTCTCTCTCTCTCTCTCTCTCTCTCTCTCTCACA